AGGGATGAATCTATGTTTATATTTTAAGTATAAAATTATATGTATTTGTTTTTATTTTTGTTATTTAAATTAAAGATTATGGTTAAACTGTCACTGTAAAATATCAAGCCTCAATTAGATTTCTTTGTCATAGGATTTCATTACGGTATGCCTGTAAGGCAGTGAAATGTGAAGGTAACGATTCTGTGGAAAAACAAAATGACCATATATATTCTTTTTAAATGATAACACCAGCATAACACACAGCTTAAGGAACTATATTGTGTCCTGAGGGCACCAGTTCAATATATCTGCTCTACTCGAATACCTACTCTAGGAAAACATGATGGGAAATTCATAAATCTGAACTTGAATCAAATCCTGATAATTATCTTCATCCAAGTTCAATAAACGTTTGATGACACGCCACAGGGGAAATCATGCCCATTACACATCAGCCAAACTGTGAACGAAACAGAGCAAGGCTTCATCAGAAGGCACGTGTATGACATCTTTAAATCCAACTCACAGAGAAGCTTTGACAAACACTGTAGGAAATGTACAGCTACATAATAAATATCTGTTGTCTGCACAAACAGCTGCTGCAATTCCCAAACTATTGTTGTCAACATCGGAGGGATGTCTGGAAAGTACACAAGACAGATGTTTAACTACTACTGCAGAATACTGTAGAATAAAACAGGAAAAGCACTAAAAAGCTTGGCCATGGCTTCTGGTGCTGCTAAAGGTTCTGTTGGGATTCAATCTACAAAGAAGATGATGATGCAGGAGGAAGTGGATGATGGAGTCTTAAGTTCCAGCTCAGCTGCAAACACTGTACTGCGACTGTAAAATGCTGCCTCAGGATTCTGTGGAACCACTTAACACTGCATAGCCATTATACTGCTGAATGGCCATTACTGCAAGGAACAACCCCATAAAGGCTACCATTAGCTGCCATGCTACCGGCTAAGCAATATCATGATCTACAGCAGGTTCACCATGTGCTGAATATATCACAGATCCCTATGTTACATGAGGAGAATATAAGAGATGATATTGTTTGAATTAAGACTTTTATATCACAGACCCATACAGTCTAAAACGTATACAAACATAGCTCTGCAGAGGCCCCCTTATGAAACCACATATTTGGATCCCCACCAAATTGCACACACTAGATATCAATCCCCTGATTTGTGTCTTCAGTATCCCAAAATAACTCCTTGGGTAATTCTTGAATATGTAAAAAAAAAACCCACCTTATTTTGCAAAGTTTAAGAAAGCGAGACAAGAAAGACTCCTGGATCTGCACCTAAATGTACTGGGTTCATTTTTAGCCCATGTCCCGTCATTCCATCTCAGTAGTTTTTACGTTATCCTGCCGATAAACCAAACAACATATCAACACACAAATGGACATTGTTGAAAACATAAACTCCTGGGTGGAGGTAATTGAAAATGATCTCATTCTAGCCTTAGCACCGTCCATGCGCTAAATAACGTCATTACACCATTCTGTGTTTGGGGCGCTAACAAGACAAATAATGAATATTTGATCAAAGTCTATATATTCTACTTGATTGGGTTTCAGAGTGGTTTGGGGTTTCCTCCAGCAATAAAGTCCAGTTACGCTTTGCAGGAGGTGTACGCCTGTGGATTTCACGTTGGGATAATGAAACATGACTTGGTTGATAACTGTGATAGCATTTCTAAAAAATGTTTCAGCTTTTTTTCTTGGTGTAATAGTTTAAAGCACAGAGACAAAAAATAAATAAATCACACCAGACAAGTGTGGAGCTTGTGAAATCTCAATCACTCCTCTGCTGCAGTCGAAGCGGGGAGACAAAGACAAATGGAGCTGGTTTTCACTCCAGCAGTTCAACTTCTGTCATACCCTTGTAACCTAAGACAAAGACATGGAAACTCATCCCAGCTCCTTGTACCAAAACAAGCCTGAAGGACCTAATAACAGCATGTCTCAAGCATGACAACTATGCAGTTTCCTCACGAGCCCTCCTTTTTTTCATGCCTCATTGTCTAGTTCACCCCTCTTCCCCTGCCTCATTTTCTCCTGATAACCCCTGTCTCTCCTCATGCAGCCTCACCCCTATCTCAATCTTCCACTGTCACACACTCCATCATTCCAGCCCACTTTATTCACCACCTACCCTTCCTCCCTCTATTAAGTGAGGCGCTGGAGACAAGACACTGGCTGCTCTATACAATGGACCCTGTATTAGCATTGCTGTTTACCTGTCTGCAGACAGCCCTCACCGCATTTAGTGAAGCAGCCCTCGATGCTGGAGAGACAAAAACCCTCAGATTCACAGAGGCCCCTTTGTTCTTCTATACATTGTGCATACCTGAGCATCTGTGTGTAGGATTTGCAACAACTGAATGAAGATTAGTTGGGTGGAAGAATGGAGGGCTAGATAAGACAAGGAAGGAGCAGAATAAAGAAGACATGGGCTTTAAAGACATTTTTCACACATGAACTCTGGAAAATACCCAGAAAATGGGGTCCAGACATTTTCCACACTTTGCCTTTCACATATGAAAAATCCAGCAGAAGACAACAGGAGAATGTCCAGAACGTTCAGGCGAGGGGTTGTGTCTGGGTAGAGCATGTAGGAGGCAGGAATTCATTCATCTGTGCTGCACAATCACACCAGCATTCACCTGTATTATCAACATCTCTAAAATTTGCAAGTTGAGCTCTTGGTCTGTTTTCTACATGTTTGACATCTCTTTTTCATTCTGAGCTATTTGTATTATTTTTGTTTTCATCAATGCTCCTTCTTGCTTGCTGTGAATGTTTCCGACGTTTTAAGGGGCTGGCCGGAAAGTTCAGGAACATGTCTGGACTTCAGGGCTTGTCTTAAAGCAGCATAAGTCTATGAGAAATGCAAGTGCAGTCAGAAAGTATCGAGACATAGGGATATTTTCTATACCATTTTGGCACTACACCATAATAATGCAATTCAAACTAAAACTAGTGGATTCAAGTGAAGGCTTTTAGTTTTACGAGGGCATGGAGGTGTTCACATCCATAGTAGATGCGCACATTCTAACCTTTTTCTTTTTTTCAGGGATACGAAATTTTTTTTTGTAAACAATCATATTCAAGCTGAATGTCAGCACTTTAACCTCGGAGACAGTTTTTCATTTTAAATCCAGTACTTTGTAGTACACAACCAAAACTATTCAAACGTGAAGACCGAACTGTTGATGCTCTTACCTGAGAAAGATAAGCCAATACACATAAATACAGCTTTCAAAGATGTGTTATATTAGTTTTAAGGTATGGAAATATCATGCATACGTAAGCGTAAAATGCTGCATTTTTCCCTGTAGTACTATACGTGTAGGCGTGTGTGTGCACACTGTGAGAGCAGATAGATGGAGGAGCCCACACACTGAGGTTCAGGGCAACTTGGCGGACTTTCGTCTCTTCGACTTTTTAATTACGCACTGCTGAAATGCAGGGGCTACCTACTATACCAACCAAATACTGCAGAAGGAGATATCTACAGCACCCATTATTATGCAGAGTGCCGGCAAATTTGGACAGCTAAAATTTTGTCTCTCTCCTCGATTTTCACTCTTAGAAAAGACACAGGCTGATCACATCATCAAGCACACTTCTGTTGAGATGTCAGCAGGGGATTCTGGGATAGGAACATGTGATTAGTTCCTATCGTGGAGAGCGGCCTGTCAAAATTACAAGTACAGTGCAGAATGAGAGCGGGAGGGAAGAGATAAGATCCTCATTGATTTGGCCCTAATCCAGCACTTTGTACGTGTAATGAAGCAGTGGACATCAGGCCTTTTATGCAGTGGTTGTGTAGCGTTCTGTCTTCACATTGTCTGAATACATGTGAAGTACCTGTGGTTTTTGTGTTCTTGTTCAGATTCTAAGTAATAGATCACTGATGATATAACTGTAATAAAGTGGAAGCTTTAGGTCTGCAAAAACATATGGGCCAAAAGACAGAGAATATGAATCATTACACCATATGTTGAAATGCCCACTGATCATTTTCCTGTGTTTTGTAATAAGTGTCGGGAATAAGCAATGAGAATGAAGTTCTGTTTGTTGCAATAATCTCCATATTGGTGAAAATAAAAGGACGGACGAAATAAATTGAAAACAAAATGATCAAGAGGAAAGGAAATATCTACATATTCATATTATGCATATACAGTGTATGTGTCTTTATCAAGCTCCGCCATTTCCTTATAATAATAACACCGATTTCATTGCAGCTGCTTCAAACACGTCTCATTAATACAAAGAAAAACAATGCAGACATGAATGAATGAAAGAGAAAGAAACACATGTTTCCTTTATCTGCTTCACCCTTTCCACCTGGGGCGGCAATCAACCATTCCACTGCCAATTACATACAGCTCTGACTACAATCGGCATCCACAAACGCATTTGCACAAGTTCTAGGTTGCACAGTAGTTGTTGGTACATTCAGTGTCTGCACAGTTTCTGTTGTGCTAAGTGTGTTTCTGTCACAGACCTATTTCGCACTCTCACCCCCAGAACAGGAGAAGGATAACACATCGAGATAAGCACTTTAAAATTCATTAGAGGGGACTCATGGGGGAAACGCATCCAGCAGAGGCTGGACAGAAAGCCTCTCCATGCGTCAGTTGCTAATGTTTTCTTGCGGAGGGCGGTAAGGTGCCAGTGAAACTCACCAGGACACAGCAGAAAGAAAAGGCTTTATGCAAACATTTATGCACATTCCTCACTCATTGCTCCACATACTCTATCCATAGTATTTGTTTTGACTTTGGCCAAGTAATAAGGTGAAAGAAGGAGCAGGGAGAGATGTAGAGGCGTACAGATAAAGAGATGGGGGAGGAGGTTTCAATGCAGATAGGAGGAGGTGTATTTGGATGAAACAAAGAGCAATTTAAAAAACAGAAAAAGTAGAGTGCAAGGGCAGAGGGAAAAACGAGGAAGGAAAAGGAGGGAGAGCCACAAGGCGGGGATTTCACTTTACCTTCAGTGGGGTTGATAGCTCCTGGCAAGCTGTCCCATGGGAGGGTCCAGGCAGGGCAAGGATGAGGAGTGAAGACTGCCTGGATGCCTTTCTCCTAAAGGAGGAACACACAAGCACAGACACATAGGTTACCATAGAAACCCCTCCACAGCCTTGAGGTTCTGTGGTCCAATGGTTGTAATGAAGCGCATCAAAGAGCTCCTCTTGAACAAGCCCTTTATTACCTTCCTCACACTGAGCTGAAGCTGTTCCTGAGGAAAAGAACATGCCAGGACACTCATTACTCTCTCAAGAGAACAAAAGTTCTCCAGTACAGTGCATACACCTGCACATCCAAGACACTACTGAGAAATACTGAAGAAACTGAGCAGATAAGATGAAGTACTTTGCTTTTTCTCTTTCATAAGTAGGCTGGCTGCAACAATGATTCTGATCTTTGAATCAAAGCCACGCGAAGAAGAATAATACACTAATATACGTTCAGAAACAAGTTAATGTTCACACTTTCCTTCTGGGAAAATGTTTTCTGACTGTTGCACTTTTGCCTTAACTTCAATTAATACCCTTAATAACCATGAAGGGGTGTGTGGTGCAGGGAAAATAATATTGACATTTGGAACGTATCTACCAATAACTGAATACTATTACACTAAGGTGATGTTATAATATTATCTAACTTATTATAATTTAATCAATTAATTAATAAAATTAAGCCTTTACTTGCTGTGAAAACAATGGTCCTTTTATATTGTGTATTCCTATTAAGAAATCACTACAAGTCTGTTATAGCTGTAGACAGCTATGTATAATTTCATGATTACTAAATTTAAAAAAAACAACAGCTACATCTGTAACTATTGTATTATAAAAGTACACTGGTAGGGAAAATTGTATGAATGCCTTATATCATAGCACATCACCAACCAGTAGTTATCTACAATGGACAGTCTATAAATAACTTGAAGATTTACACTGAAAGACCAGAATCATATAGACTTGTATGATGCACTTCATTCTGGACAAACAGGCCCAGCAATAAACACTATTTCCCTCAAAAGATTTCATTGCTGGCATCGCTACTTCAGTAGCTTTGGCAAACTGGAACTGTTCTGTGTGGTGTTATGTAAAATCCAACAAACGAGAACTAAATTACAGCTTCAAAATGACCAAATGAAATCAAGGTTATATTTCAGAAAACTGCTCTGTAGAATATGAATACATATTGCAATGGACCTGACTTTATTTGTTTCTGTCACTTGATGAGAGCATGTGAGGTCAATTTCATAAAGAGTAAAGTAAAACTGGGATTTTGCAAAAATCCAGAATGAATTTAATCTAACCAGTGATTTAAGTCTTTAAGTCACAAAGTGGCTGCAGCTGTGGTCCACCATGACTTTAACTAAAAAGTCTGATTCTACTGAAATACTCGATGTAGATAAGACATAATTACAGTAGCAAATTTAAAAGCTACTAAGAATCTAATTGGATGAAATTTATCAAAATAATTAACATACTTTTTACTTTAAAATGATAAGGGAAATGTCAAGGCATAATTCTGGAGAAAGCAGCATGTCTCATGCTTGATGATAAGCACATGGTTTAGAGCCTGAAAACCAGCTCGGGAGCAGCGGTTAAGATCCAGTTGATCTGCCACAGCAGTAAAGTTGAAGAGGAAGCAGCAACAGTTTGGTTTAAAAGATCATTAATATCAAAAGAGCACACTTCAAGATGCTTCAGTGCCATTCTAAAGCTGAGAAGAATGTGGACTTCACCTGGTAATCTGACCTGGGAGAGATGATTCCCTAATGGCCATCAATGACGTAAATATTCAACTGGACCAAAACTATCTAAGAATATAATCTGTCATATGGTTAGGTTCAGTATAGCAGTTTCCACAGGAACAGACACAGACACTCAGTAATCCCAGTTTCTGGAACACAGCCTTTCCTGTTCTTCCATCAGAAAATCCAGGATCTAATTTTACTGCTAACTCAGATTAGCTTGTTGTCTCATATCATCAACAGACCTGTCAATCAAGAGGGGAGTAATAGCAGACAGGCTTAAATCTTGCATTTTGTTGTCGGGGCAACTTTTCTGTTTACACTCAGTTTATCGTTTGTGTGTCTGCACCTCATTGCACAAGCAGTTTGACTGGCATGCATCCATGTGTGTTAACTGATGTGAGGGAAAGATTCTATGATACATTTCTATTGTGGATAATGGAGTGAGATAAGCCCGGTGCCTCTGGTTTGCAGCAGTGACGGATCGCGTGTCACTATGTCAGACGACACACTTGCCTTAGCAGACGCACATATGCATGAGGCCATACACAGGCACTTTAGCCAAGACAACACAACAGCTGCACTGCAGACATGATGGTGGCGACACGCAGCCATCCTTATAATCCCTCTGAGGGAAAAAAGAATGGTGGCCATTGTGTGCAGATCTGCGTGTGTGCACGCATTCCTCTCGGTTCTAATGTCTGATTTCACCGTGCCATGAAAACTGTCATTTGAGCACATCTGTGGCTCCCTCGCTAAATTTCATCCGGCAACATGGCACATTTGAGACACAAGCCCATCCTGACCACCCAGCTCACTCAAACTATCTTCTTTCTTTTTTCTTTTTTTTTTACAGCTTTCTCCCTCTGCTCGCTTCCCGTCACATAACTTCACACTGTGATAGACACTTAGCCAGCAGGAAATCACGGAAATATCTTCGCTAAGGGAGCATAGCAACAAGGCCAAGAGTACAGTTTGAAGGCTCAGCACTAAGAGGTCAGACAAAGTCTCCTTTTAAACAGCAGGGCTTATTTATCTCCTGCTGAAGAAGCTAGTCCAAATAATGTTGCAGCGGCAATATTTGCAGTGCTGTGGAGCTATGAAAGTTATAAATGTGAGAGTGTGTGCGTGTGTTTGCCAATGCTTGCTCAGGGAATTACATTTTCAGAGTGTGGACACATTATGTTAGTGTTGAGAGCTGTCTTATCACTTTACACTAAGACTTTCAGCCATTACTAGAAACTACTTAGTCTGGCTATAAAACATTGTTTTGTTTTGGACTGGATTCATTGTTTTTATTGCACCTGAAATGAGGAAGAGCTGAATGTGCGCTGTCTGCACTATTGTAAGTGGCAACAGGATCCACAGAGAATACTGAAGTGAGAATTTTTAAATTTATTGAGGGCAGTAAAACACTATTCTTAAAAGCAGATTCTGTTCTTTTTCTTTTGAGAATGGTCACTTGTTTTGTTCTTTTGTCTTGACAGATAAAAACATGTCATACAAACAACCTCTGTGAGAAGAAAATCGTGTCTACAGATAAGCATCCTGGGACCTTTAAACAGCCCACTTAACACTAACTGTTAATCCTGTGACTGGAAGCTCTTAGTGTTAACACGCTGACAGAACGATGAAAATTTCAACAATTAAGAAAGTCAGCTGGCAGACAAAACATTAACTTAGCTACACTCCTGAAGACACACAGAAAATTGAGGCGTGAAATTATAGGGATAATGGTTAACAACCAGTTGGAGCCTACATGCTGTCTATCTGTGCTGTGAAGGGACAATAGGAGACAGCAGCTTTAACTTACAGTCAGACGTTACATCCAGAATACTATGTTTGTTTTTTAAAAAGCATCACGGTTGCTATGCTGATGCCTGCTGTCCATACGACTCCGCAGTTTTTGATCACCTAAAACGAAGAAGTTTAGAAATGCTATTTGTTCTGTTTTAGTTTGAAAACTAAAGGTGTAGTCTGGATGATCAGAAATTAGTTGCTTCATGATTATTTTTTATCAGTCACGGCTCAACTGTCACTAGTGAAGGCAAAACATTTTAAACAACACTGCCAGCAACGGTTCCACCTCGTCATCGCTCCAAGAAAAGAAAACCCTTGTCATACTTTTCGCCATTGTTGATTCTCAGTCGGAGTATTTTCTGTAACGAGGAAACCAGCTGCAGAGTAGGCCATCTACTTCCTGTTTGCATCAGTATGCACATGCCCAGTGTGAATTGTCACATGACATGCATTTACAGGTGTGTTAGTAAGGACAGTGATTATTATCGAGGCAAAGCTAAAAAATTGTGTTGTCAGTGGTTGTTTTTGTTTTATAAAACACAAACTCATCAGTATGGATGTAGTTTAAATATTTGGAGAGCACAGAGAGGTAAAGCATGATGGGAAATAAGTAAGAAATTGGGAGAAATTACTTTAAGTTTAGTCATTGTGGGCCTGGGGCCACCGACAAAAGGCAGTTGTGACGTCGTCTCCTGGTTTTCTTCTTGCTCCAGTTGACAAGATGGGTTGTCCTTTGCTGACAGCACTGGGGGTGTGGATGTAGGAACTTGGAGGTTGGAAAGAACTATACCACAAGCCTTGGCTGCACGAAGGACCCCAGGTACCTCCTGAACACGGCTGAACCAACGCAGCAGGTGGGGGAGCTGATGCAGAGTACTCACAGCGTGGGCTTGGAGAGAACACTGTCAGAGACAATGAGAGAAAAGAGAGAAAAGAAGAAAGAAACAACAATAGTGATTAAGTGACTCATCTGATGTGTCATCTCCAATGGAGCGGGATGTCAGGTTCCACCAAAACTCCCTCATCACACTGGTGGACACACATGAGGGGCAGGAAAAACATCAAAACAGCGTTTGCAGGTGGGGAGGGTGAGGACATAAACAGAGACGTGATCAGAGAAGCAGTGTCACTGTGTGTGGAGGATGGGAGAAAGAGAGGGGGGACACAGACAGAGAGAGGGAGATGGGGGCACTCTGCAGTATGGCGAGTGGGCGGAGTGGAAAGGATCCGTCGTGGCTGCATGTGTCGCGGACTGTGATGGCCGTTAAGAGGAGACACGCTAGGCTGAGTGTGAAACTGGAAACCACTGGAGCACAGCTGACTACTAAAAGCCTCATTGTGAGAACTTCAGTTTATTCCCACAGTTGAGGAATAGCTGGGTGACAGCTGAAGGGTGAAATGGAGGTTGAGCTCCACTTCAGTGCCAGACAGTGCAGCATTCCTAATCAATAATAATATACCACTCAACTAAGCCCTGGTGCTCTGCTTCTGGTGTCCACTGCTGTTGCTTCAATTGCTGCGACCAACTTTACATAAAAACATGTAATCATTAAGAGTTATGAATATTCACTAAATGCTCGTGAGCTTCTGACGTCCTCTGGAAGATACGATTTTTAAGGTCAACTTAACAAACCACGGATTCTTGATCTGTTGCAGAGGGAAACACGTTCCCAAAGTAAAGTCATTGAAATGCATTTCAACCTGCTGCATTTGAATGGAGAGTCTCCCATACAGTGTTATCGCTCCTTGCCAGGTGGCTGCAGACCACCTTTGAGAGGGAAACCTGTGCCAAGAGTGATGCAGCGACTCTTCTTAACTCAAGTTTCTGCCTGGACAGAACTGAAAGGAGGTGGATTTGCTGTCTGCTCACCCACACCAGAGAGTCAAAACCAAAATTCATGCATAATTTGACAAGTCATCATAATAAAGGCATTAAAAAAAGACATTAAATATGTAAAAGAGTGGCTTATGGCACATTAATGGGGATTTTAAAGATCTTATTGTGTCAAAATAATGAAAATATACAGGGAACGTATGAAAATCAAATCAGTATTTAATGTGTATTCATGGATCTAAATTTTCTGATAATAAAAGGCAGTAAAAAGCAGTGATAAGAGGATTGATTGTATCCAACACCCTCAAACATGATTCATAAACTCCAAGGCTCTTACCAGGTACTGATAGATGCATGGCAGCAGCACCACATCCGTCAGAGTGAAGTACAGTCCTTCAGCAAACACATGCTCCAGCGGAGGGAGATCTATGGTCTTCACTTTCCTGATCTCAGAGCTCTCCCTAGCGGTCACAGCGGGAACTGCATCCACAGACAGCTTGGCCAGAGCAGCCCTGAGCTCCAGTCCATCAGAGACCTGCGGCGACAGTCCAGGCTCACACTCATTGTTCACATCTGCTCGGACTTCAGGCGACTCGTTCTTCTCATTCTGTCTCTGCTCTTGGAGTTTCTGCCGGCGTATTTTGTCATCGTTGTGGACTTTGACCGGCTCCGCCAGCCTTCGCTCCAGGGTGAGGATGGAGAGAGGCAGCTGCTGATATTGATCTGTGGGATTTTGAAGGTGCTCTTCTACAGCTGAGGGGATGCCAGTTTCACACAGTCTGGTCCACTGGCTCACCTGAGAGTGACGAATGGTCATAAGAGAAAGATTTTTAAAGATTTCGGAGTCACTCCAGTAAAGAAAAAGTCATTTTGGGCTGGAACATTTTCAAAACTGTTTGAAAGACGAGCAGTTTATCAATTGATGGATTGAAAATGGAAACAGTCAAGGAAGGAGAGCAGACTTGAGAACTACTTGAAATACATTTTATTAAAAGCTCCACTTTCCTCAAAAGTTCAGGAACATAAAGAGAACTGATATTTGTGAGTGTGTAAAATTTGGTGCAGCTTGATTGAATTTAAATAGACTGTTGGGCCTTGATGGAAAATATGTGCTCCAATGGGCACCATTCTATTTACATCTGTACACATCTATATACGAGCAGCTGAGTAGAAACTTATAACCTCCTCTCTCTGTGAAAATTCACTCATTATCTACTCACCACTATGCCGATGGAGGGGTGCATGAAGTGTTTGAGTCCACAAAACGCTTCTGGAGTTTCAAGGGGTATAGAGTGTTTCAGTAAATGGTGACCACTTCTCCTCCTGTGGTGTCGTTAAAGTGTCCGTAAGCCCCGACATTCACATTTGAAGAAGTGGTCACCCAGTTCCTTTAATTGTATTGGGTTTGGCTGCAACACTGTTTACCTGTGATACTCCAAAAGTGTTTTGTGGACTCAGACACTTCACCTACCATCTCCATCTGCACATCATGCACAGTGGTGAGAACCATCCCTTTCAAGCCAGTGAGCATCATTCATTTTGTTTATCTCTCATTGATAACCCCCCCCTCACCTCAGCACAGGCCTTCAGGCAGGTCTTCTTGAAGCCCAGCAGCGCCTGCACATCCTTCCTGCAGGGATCAGCCTCCAGGGTCTTGTGGATGATGTGTCTCAGCACCACGGCCAGTCCAGCCCTGCACAGCCGCCCGCTCTCATCCAGCACAGCGGGGAGACAAGAGCCCCTCACCAGCGGAGGCAGACCCTCCGGCTGAGCCTCACACACCTCCACGCTCTCCGGTACGAGCCCCTGCCTCAGAGCCTGCGAGCAGGAGGGTGTGGAGGAGACCAGGGACACTTTGAAAGACTTACAGCCGCAGTACGAGAGGAGGAAGAGGGTGATGGAGGAGTGCAGGGGGAGACGAGCCTCCTCACCTTGGGAACAAACTTCTAAATAGAGGGAGGGTCGACGGGGCTCTGCGTCCGCGTGTGTCATTTTAAATAACCTGTGAAAACACAACGAGGTTGGGGAGCAATTTAAAAGATGGCGGCTAGAGTAAGCTAAACTAATACTTTCGACATTAACATATACTCGCAACAGTACACGTACACATGTGTACACACACTCACACTCACACTCACTCACTCACCGGTAAATTCAACAAACCCACGCTGTTGTCGTCCACTCTTTCTTCTTCTTTGCCTGTGCCACAGCTAAACTAGCACCACAGCGCCATCCGCTGTCCGCTATCACACCCTGCATGTTTATACTAATGTGAATATTGCGTGCAATAAAGGCGTATGTTAAAAATATTGACTACAAAGTGAATGTGTCGCATATAACTGAGTTTGAAAATGTGGATTATTATATCATTTAAGAAAGAAAAAAAAGGCTCCGCAGGGAAGGTTCCGCGCGTGGACATCCCGGACGTATTTGAGGGTTGCGCAGGTTGTAAGAGAAGAACGGTCCGTCCCGGTTGATTCTTCTTGAGGAAGCGTTGATCAACCATCAACCGTTCAACTGGACGAAAACACCGGAGCACGAGACTGTTTCCTTCCTAAAGAGCGAGAGAGGTAATGTAGTGAAACCTTATTTAATGTTCTGTTTATTTGTGTGACAGCAGAGAGAGGAGGTGACTTTAGTTCCCGTGGCGTTGTTGCTGTTTCTCTCAGTGCGATACTCAAGTTTCATTTACATTTAACACCGACGACTGAATCAGAGAAGCAGCGACGCTCTGGAAACCATCACTGCATCAGAAGGAACAGCCAGTGTCTTTCTCCACCCGGTGGTTTTTCTTTTGTGTGTGATATCTCCAGCCTTGTTTTCCTCTCTTTGCCACCAAATGTCATTATTATCGACGCCTGCTGGCATCAGTGTAAACGTAATAAATGCACCAGACAATGATTTAGTGAGTGATAAACTGGGGCCAGACTTCCCTGAGGAGAAACAGACAGAAACAGCTTCAGATGAATATTTCAGTCTTTCTAAATGTTTCCTGTGGAGGGGGAAGTGTGTTTCTTTCTTTAATGTGTCCAGCCTGAATGAGCAGTGCAGCTGAACATCAGAGAGGAAATTAAAATCCCACATGAAGAAGAAGTGATCGCAGTTTGATGGCTGAAGAGACGAGAAGGCTTTTATTTGCAGTGTGTTGTGTTGAATGAAGCAGTTGTCTGTAGTGAGACATTTTGTTTCTAAAATCAATGATGTGTTTCTTTATATCATTTCAGGACGTTATCTTGTCAGTCAAAGTTAACATTCTATTGTCCATATGGCAGCTACAACTTTGTTTAACAATCACCAACCTGTTTAACCAAAACCTTAGTTAGAAGGGACATGAGTAATATTTCATGAAGCTGTAACCTTTAGCCCTAACCCTGGATTTAATAATCTGACATTATTTTCTGATCTCCAGTTTCAGCCATGGCTGGACCTGTCAGTCTGGATTTGGATCCCATCTTCCTAAAGGGTCTGAGTTACCTGCACTCCAAGAGTAAAGACTCCGTTGAGAAACTCAAAGCTTTACTAGATGAGTCCCTTTCAAGAGGAAGTGACTCATCTTATCGTTCATCACAAAAGGTAAAGGGATTGCATCACACTCTTCATTTGCATTCCACCTTCTTTATGGTTTTCTCTTTCAGTTTCATTATATGTAATTTATTCAAACAAAATAATAACTTCTCTGTGTTATTATCATATATCCTCAGGATATAGAGGTGTCCAAGGGATCCGTGTCAAAACTGAGCTTAAGTAAACAGGACTCAAAGTCCTCGTCGAGCTCCTCGTCCTCCAGCAGCAGCAGTGGCAGCAGCAAATCCACCTCGGAAAAAAGCAAAAAAGAAGTAGAGAAGAGACCGTCTGAGAAGGTAAAGGATCTTTTTTATCTTTTTGCTTGGAGTGAAATTTGTGATTTTGCCATATGTTAAATACCATCCTCAGGAGAAAAAAGACATTCCAAAATAAATTCCAAACCACAAAAAATGCATTTCTTTGCAAAGTACAGCATACATTGTGAAAGTTGTTGAGCCTTAATTAAATGACAATTAATAGATAATTAATCTACAGGTATATGTCAATTAGAGCCATTATCAAGATAATGCATTGGTTACAAGTTTGTTTTAGATGTACAACACTGTATTGCAGAGCAGGTACATGCAATTCAGCTTAGAACTGATGAAGAGAGTTGAGTCCAGATATATAAAGCGCATGGTACTTACATTTTGAAGATGTGATGATGTCAGTCTCTAAAGTGACGTCTGTCTTTCTCACTGTTATCAGGTCAGGGTTGACTTGGGTGAGGTGGACCCTCCAAAAAAGCCTCGTTTGGAGAAACAGGAGAATCGCTCTTCTCCGATTACCGTTCAGACGAGCAAGGACCTCCTGTCAAACATTAATGATTATGATGAGACCAACGCTGATGACTTTGCCATGGAAATGGGTCTGGCTTGTGTGGTTTGCAGGTACATGTTAATGATCAACCAAATAATTAAAGTTTATTTATCTTTTGCAATAGCTTCAGGTCAGATTGATGTCTAACTCAGCAAATTATTATTTTTTTTCCTTTTTTTATTACGCAAGACAAATGACAGTCACCATGGGGAACCAGCTGGTTGAGTGCCAAGAGTGCCATAATCTGTACCACCAGGACTGTCACAAGCCCCAGGTGACAGACAAAGAAGTCAACGACCCACGGCTTGTGTGGTATTGTGCCCGCTGCACCAGGCAAATGAAACGCATGGTGAGAAAAAAAGTTATATTCCAACATCTGATTGATAATTACTCGTAGCAGATCACCAGTGAATCTGTGATTCACTGAGTGGTGTTACAAGGTCCAGTTGTATCTGTTTAAAACGATTCTTGTTTGCCCACTAGGCCCAGAAACCTCCACAGAAGCCGTCCCCTGCATCTGCATCATCAGCGCCTGTCGTTAAAGACACACTGGTCAAAAAGACGGAACTGAAATCCAAACCTGACACAACCAACACCTTCCAGGCCTTTAAAAGAACAGAAGTGAAGGTAAGTATCAACTCATTGTGGCCGTCATGTTTATGAGACCTAAACAGAATGCAAGATGGTCTTAATGCCAATCAGGTGTAGTGAGAGAAAGGGAATGCCTACCAAGCATTCTGCCAACACGTGTAATAAATCTTTTATTGTGTTTCATGTGTTCTACTGTGTTAAACTCTGGGAAACTAGGATTCTCCCTCCATATTACTGGTAGCAAGTGAGAGAAAACTATAGTTGTCAATATGCAAAATTGTTCCTAAAGGCAGACTGCATAAATATCTCTGCAGAGGACAATGAGCAGAAAGTATACACTTATCTTTAATGATTCAACCACTGACTTCTGCTGCTGTGTCATTTCTCCAGAGAGAATTTAGTTTCAAACTTTCCAGCACTTTAACTTATTCACCATGAAGTTATTGTGACAGCAAACATTTTGCCTTTAGTCAGTGATTTCATTATGTTAATACCAGCCGCAGTGAGGGTGAGTTTTGTTTGTTTTTCAAACAAAAGTTTTGCTCAAGTTGCATAGCTTGCAGGTAAGTTTGCTAATAAACATGCTAGACTAGTCACAGGTAAACAATGAGCCGCCCCAAGGAAAAAAATGCATTTTTTTTGTTGTGGTCACCAAACGCTGATCAAATGAATATTCCTTTTTCTAGGATTAAGAAATTGGTTCACTTATCTTAATTCGTTACGAAAGTTGATGCAAAACAAATCCTACATGTGTCCTAACTTTTGTCGTTTACTTACAAATCCTCAAATTGTTTCTCTATCCTCCAACGCATCTTAGAACAATACTGCACTGCAGGACGTAGTGTTGTATGGATGTGTCCCAATTCAGGGGCTGCATAGACTGCCTCATGTTGAAGGCTCTTTAAAATGCGGCCTTCCATTCACAAGAAATGAAGCTTCCAACCGGTGGATCCTTCTGAGGCCAACCTATCCTTGAATTCACTGTGTGACAGTGACAAAGCTAACAAGCTATCTATGCAGTAAATGCAAAAAGTAGCCAACAATGAGGGCAGAACAAGCTGATGAAGCATTTCAGTTCAACCTTCGCAGTCTACAAAGGGCACATTTTCATAGACACAGTCCTCTGAAGGATGCAGCCCCTGACTTGGGTCACAGCTTATTTTGATACCAGAGATTTCTTGTCTTCATTAAATTTGTGGTGTGTTGTGATAACTAATGACTATTTTCATTTCATGCAGGCGTCCACAACATCAGCCACCCCCACCAGCAGCAGCTCCTCCTCCAGCAGTGGTCTTACAGGCTGGGCTGCATTTGGAGCCAAGACGAGCACTGCTCTTCCTCCCAGCTCCAAACTGGGTTCCTCTGGTCCAAGTGGGAGCAACAAGACTGTGACAGCTCCCTCTGGCCAAAAACCTGCCGGCCTGTCTGGACTGGCTGGAGCAAAATCAGGACTTGTGAGTACCAAGGTACCTGGTGGTGGTAACGGAAATGGCTCTAGTCAGGCGCCCCTGAAACCTCCTCCACCCCTGACTCTGGGTAAGCAGCCTCTGAACCGCGCATCGAGCAGCGAAAACCCAGGGAAAAGCTCTGCTTCGTCGGGGGCCGGCTCCCCGGGTAGCGCTCAGGGAAGCGGCGGGGGGAACGGAGGCAATAACGGAGAAGGTAACGGAAACAATGGGAACGGGTCAAAGGTTGCACCAGGGGACAAAGCGCCAACTTTTCAAGAGTCTCAGCTCAATGCCATGAAACGGTTACATCTGGTGAAGAAGAAAGCAGCGCAAAAGAAACTGAAGAAATGAGAAGAGATGGAGAGAAAAGAAGAGGACGAGGAGATCTGGGGGAGTAGAAAATAAACCTTTCAAACGTGTGAAATTAGTGACAAAATAATGTTTGTATGACAAGAGCATCTGTACATAGATTTACACGATCCAGTCAAATACTTGAATCTTACTTTACGTAAATGCTGCTGTACTTGATGTGCTTCATCCTGCCCTAACAAATCCAAACATTTATAACGTGACTGTCAGTTTTTATCAACGAACATCATTAAATATCCTCCTCTGACAAATTGCATATATCAATGACTTTGTAGCATGTGTTGACCCTGAATGTGATACAGACAGGACAAATGAAGAACGGCTAACAAAAGTTATGATAGAGGTTGTGTTTATACAGAATTATGACATAACTTTTAAAATATGACACTATAAAAGTGACACAATAGATTTTCTTCATTTCACATAAAACATATACTTCATGTATAAATCATTTCACATATAACATCTGCTTCATCTATAAATCAGTTCACATATAAAATTTACTTCATGAATAAATCACTTCATTATCAATCAACACTGACGTACAAAAGTGCTCAGCACAGTGCTCTGTATTTTCCTTCAATTATCCATATTCATCAGATTACTGGTCTCGTTCTTATTATGGAGGCAAAGCAGATTCTTTATCAACACTTATGGTATGAGACTTCTGATAATAACATCTAGCGAAACCTTCATCAGCCCTGTGACAGTTTAGAGATGTGCCAGGGTTAATTAACTTCAACAGTTTTGTTAGAAAAGCCACAGGTTCTTTTGGAGTTTGTTTCCCTGGATGGTTTCGTTTTACTGGAAATCCTAAACCTAAACAGAGGGCCTCTTTGTTTTTTAGGCATAGGACATCCTGCCAAGGTAGTTGGCCGGGACATATCCCTTCTGTCCGTTAGCCTCAGCCAACCACCACTCCTTGTTGCCTCCCACGTCACAGAACTGGAGGATGCGGACATGCTGGTACTCCTGTAGGGTCAGCTCCTGGTCACAACGGGCTTGAAATGCATACACGGCATAAAACTGTGGAAACAGAGACATCAATCAAATGTTTGTGTGTTTTTGATAAAAGCATCAAACTGATGAATGATACTTTTTAAATGTTAGTATGTTTAGTAAGTTTTACCTCCACCAAAAGCAGGATTAGGCAAAAACTACTGGACTTGGTGGCAGGATGTGCTTTGGGTCAGGGAAGACCCTATTACATTTTAGTGCTGATCCAGATCAGGGGTCGGATCCAGGATTATTGTTCACTGTCTTTAACATTGTGAGATTTGTATTTATGGATCTTGATGAAACAATCAGGCATGTTTAGAGGACTGAAATTCATGAGTTTGTGCAATTTGCTGCAGATTCAATAAAAATCTGAATGTAGTGAATTTTAACGTGGTTTCATGAGGTGACTGTCCGGCCTGTTCAGGGGAATGAGCTCAACTGAGTTCCATTCTAGTGCATCCTCCTGTAAATCCAGAGGGTGGCACTGTTTATTAGTACATGAGGAGTGTGGCTTGATGCAGTTCCTTATTTTTTTAGATTTATTTTTTTATAATGTGGATTTCAAAAAGTTTCTGTACACAAATGTTTGTATGTAATTTTTATTTACCTTATTTGCCCTTTAGGTGAAAATTAAATTGATCTGAACCAATATTTTTACCGTCATCTTTTCTAAGCAATGTCGTATCTTAAAGAGACATCCATATGGTGCAAGAACCTGCAGGCGACCACACGCACCTGCTGAGCATCTGTGTCCGATGTGTCCTCCAGGTCTTCCACGCTCTCTGGCTCCCCCTGTAGGCCAGAGAGGGTTGAGCTGCTGTCAGTGGTGGTGAGGTTGAAGCTTCGCAGGCTGCTGCTGCCACTGCCCGACACAAACAGGCTGAGGTCATCGAAGTCATCGTCCACCATGACAGGCGGCGGCGGCTGCTGCTGCTGCTGCTGCGGCTGCTGCTCTTTGACCATCTGGCCGGCTCGCTGCGAGTCCCTCAGAGGGTTGTACTGCTTCAGAAATGTGGAGTAGACGTAGCCCTGTGCACCTAACAGTGACACACAGCAACAGTTTGTCAGGATGCCAGACTTGCTCATTTTGAAAGGGTTGGTTCGGCCAAAATTACAAAACAGTAGAACCCTGCAGATTATATTAATTCCTGCTTCCAACACAATAACTTAACACTGTTCACAAAGACACTCGAATATACATCAGTGTGACAATTACTACCTAAAATTATAGCAACCATCTTTGAGAAAAATTTATTTGATGTGTACTTTGACTATTTAGTTTGTGTCCCATCCATTGACATCAGTGGCAGGTTTTAGGAGCCATGCTGCAGCCAGCCAACAGGTGGCCATCAAGCTGCTTGAGCGCCATGTTCATCTTTATATACAGTCTATGGGTGAAAGCACGATCTCTAGAGAGACCATGGTGTTTATTGTAATTACAGTGAACTTTCTCCAGTTACACGTTACAGAACAAACTACTTCTGAGCCATTTATTAATTTCCCTTCATTAATCCTAAAACGTCTTCCCAGAAGTATTGGGCATCATTTGCAGGAATGTGTTTTTAATGAATAATGGTGTGTGTCACATTAAGGCCATAGCCACAGTATTTGCATAAACAATATCAAATACAGTTAGAGCGAGCGACCTGAGGTGAGTGTGTAAATATGAGGTGAGAATATTCATAGAATGGATATCAACAGAGGGATGAACAACAACTTCCTGGGAATGCTTGTAATCCCACAGGAAAAGACGAGTCTGTGAAGAATGCTCCGAGAAACATACACACTTTTTTTTCCTCCTCACGCTCATAAAAAAGAAATTCTTATTGCAGAGTACAGAGAGGCACGCAAGCGGCATCTCTCCAACCCTGCTCCTCAATACCCAAAGGGAGAGGCTTTGTACTCTAAGTAACACTGCTTACAACGCACAGCGGTTTATTCCAAACAAGACGTTGGGATCTCAGGTGCTTCTGCAAGACGTGGAGGGGAGATGGAGACAAGCTGCGGAGCAACCATCTCCAGAGGCAGGCAAAGAGGTACCCGGCAACCATGACATCACAGGAGCTGCGGGGACTGATGCTTGTGTGCCGACTTGTTGGAGTCAGAAAGTAAAGTTTGGTGTTTCTACAGAGCCTCAGTCATCTCACAGATGCAGGTGTATTCCCTGAGGAACCAGATTAATAAAGGAGACCCATACAACCATTCAGATAATTAGTGTGATAATTTAATTCTCCTTTTATGTCTCAAAGAGCTACCTCTGCCTCGAGTGCACACACACACACACAAACAGATTTGCACAACTTATTAGAACTTTGCATTGACTTCCATTGATTGTGAACAGGCTAACCAAAACCTTTTACCTAACCTTAACCATGAACAATTCATGCCTAACTCTAACCTTAACCCAACCACAATTCACATCTTAGCCCTAACCATAACCAGGGACCTCAGAAATGACGTTTAGGACTGGGCTATGGTCCCCATGAGGTCGACTGGTCCTGTCAAGGTCGGTGAGCACACACACACACACACACACACACACACACACACACACACACTTGCCTCCAGTGTGAACCAGCCAGCGGCTGCTGCTGCCCAATGGGTCCGTATCCTCCAGCAGGGCCACCAGTTCTCCCTCCAGCAGGCTGAGGTCCTGATCCTGGCAGCCGTTACACTTCCTCTTCAGCTGGTACAGACGGTTCAGGGGGTGTTCTGTCAGCAGCCGGGCTCGCTGTTCCTCTGTTTGATGCTGCACCTCCATTGTCTGTAGGACAGCAAACCACAAAGTGTGGTGTAAATATTCACAGTGGCTGCCACATGTGAGGGCACATGCTGGCATGTAGCTGGTTACAAGATTATTCTGGGGAGGGAAACAGGTAATAAGCTCCTGAGAGGTATAAGAGCTTGAAATAACATGCTACTCACATGAACAAGCACAAACACACTTCTACATGTACAGATGAGTAAGCATGTGCGCGCACATACACACGTATAGATCTCTACATCTCAGGGGACTGATACCTGCTGGAGCTTTAGGTTGCCAGGTGCTGCAGTTAATCAGCCTGGAGCTGTTCTCTTTGATGGGAGAAGAAGCTGCCAGTTCATGGTTTGGAATTGGTTGAAATGGTTTGTAAATTATGTGGGACTTTGGTTTTTATGTGAGGTCAATTAGGAGTTTAGTTGCACAACTGATCAGGGATCTGCATAGTGCAGACTCTGTAGATGGAATCATCTATTCAGAAAGATTTCTTACCGTTGTTTTCTTGTCTCGTTGTCTCTCAAAGCTGACTTTACGCTCCATTAGCTTCTGTGCATTATCTTTAACAAAAGTCAGATTATTCAGCTCATCCATGATGCTGCTCTGCACCTCAGCAATGTTCGACAGTGGAGCCTGGAAAGTCAAGCATAGTAAATGTGAGTTTCAGTGTTAAATCAAATAAAAGGTGTCTGCATTATGACAAGGATCCTCACTGGTAGCTGCTGCATGGACGGAGCACGGAGTAGTATTTTATCCATCAGCTCTCTGAGTAGGGTGACCAGATACACCACACAGTTGGTCAGGATGGTGTAGGCGGCCATGTTGAACCTCTGCAACTCCTCCACCAGCAAAGCGTTGATCGCTTCATAGTCCCTCCTGGTAGGCCCGGCCGGGTCCTCTGGTGCCGGCAAAGGGGAGGAAGAAGGGGTGGATGGTGAAGATGAAAAAGAGGAAGAGCGCTCGAGGCGGCTGCAGTAATCCAGCAATTTGTCATAGCGTTTCTGGATGAGCTTCTGGGGGGCTGTGAACATGCCCTGCAGGGAGGAGAGGGGGACGAGGACCAAGCGCTCCATACTGTCTTTCTGCAGGAAGAAACAAGTCAGGTAGCAGAAGATGAGTAGAGATTTACAGCATTTCTCTGACCATGTAACAGGTACTTTTTAAAGAAATTGTGGTCGTGTATAGAGCATGAAATATCTTATGTATGCAGTAACATTAACCTTGAATACATAACAACAAGAGAGCTGCTGCAACTTAATTTGCATGCAGACAAACAAGAGGCACTGATGTTGTTCAGCTTACAGTCTGAGTTCAGCACACACTTCTATTATAGGAGCCTGCAATGGCAGGTGCTATTCATCAAGAAAAGGAAAATCTTCTCCTCTCCTGAAAGCATTGAACAGTTACAGCTGTCGTGTTTTGTCTACAGCAGACACAATCAAACCCTTTCATGCACAATAATATGTTGCTTTTCCTCTTAGAGCATGTTTGCCTTTGTGCCGAGAGTCATTTTGTCAAGGTCATTACAGATCTGGTTTGGGGTCAGCGCTGAACTGCTGCAGTGAAGAGCTGCTTCACAAAGAGTCTTATTCAGAGGTGGAGTTATATCAGAATTGGTAACTAAAGTGCAATCCAGAGAGAGGAGAGGGAAGGTGTGAGGAAGCTACCGGATCGAGTAAGACAGGCAGTAAAACAGGAAGAGGAAAGACAGATGACCCACACTTGGAGGATGAATGGAAGGTCATGTAGGAACAACAAAGTGTGGTCCGGCACAAATTCAAAAGATTCAAGGAGGAAAGCTGGAAAAGTTACATCAGTTGTTCTGTGAATAAAACTGGTGACTTTTTTATTGTGAAGCACAAAACAAGACAAACTCACAAAGTGCTTATAGGGATCATTTCCGTTATTGTGCAATGAGCCATTTATCCCATTTTTGTTTGGATCCTTAACAATGTTCTCCATGTCCTGGATGTTCTGGACAGCTACAGACACCATCTCCTGCAGAAAATACATAAACACAAGGTTTATAATATTACTAATAAAACAGCATCGAACATGTCCAATCTACAGTGGGAAATATTACACCTACCTGAATGTGCAGCAGGTAAAATTGAAGATTCTTGACCAGCTGCCTCACGGCTTTCTCCAGACATCGGAACAGCTTCTCCTCTCTGTCAAATACTTCATCTCTCACCTACAAAACAAAAATAGCTAAATGCCAATCATGCCTTAAACTTCCTTTATATGTATACACTTGAAAATGTCATTAATAGTTGTTTATATTGATAAGACATTGTATTAATTTAAACCGTCAATTCCACAAACTTTTGATTTCAATTTAAATCTGTTAATTAGGGGTTTTGATTGCGGAGTGAAAACCTTCTTTTTTCTACCTGTGGTTCAACTCCGGTGAGGATCTTGAGATAACCGGCGAACCTGTCTCCTTTCTTACGGATGGAGTGAATGTTGAACTTGTTTAGTTTTCCCCTCAGTGTCCCTTCATCTTCCAACCGCTTATACTTCATTACTGAGAATAGATAAAAATGGAGGCAGAATGAAGATGAAAAGATAATAT